TCAAAATAAAGAATCGAACAATAATTGATTTATAAGAGAAATCACATTTACTTTAGATGTGGCTGGTTTTACTACAGAAAATGTCCATTTCAAACTGAGAAATTAACTGTAAATACACTACGCCAAGAAAATACAATCTGTTGAAAATACGAGCAACAATCACTTTTATTCAGATTCATATTTTGCTAGGCAAACTGGATGATTGCTATGAGTCGCCCACCAGACCTAGTCCGACACATTAAAATATTCTTTCTTTGTTGGCCCGTAGAAATGGACATGGGGCAACCCATTGATAAAATATAGTACACATGAAATTTTTAAAAATGTTTATTTAGGTCTTAATATCATGTACAACATAGCATCTGCATACTTAATACATATATGCAGATGCTTTAATATATATACAGGGTCATTTTTAATTTACTGAAGACCTTTTGGGAATATATTGGTTACATCAATACAAACAATTTTAGTGAGATCACTCTTCACAGATTATAATACATTTACGAAAAAACTACTTTTAAGGTTTTGTTGTCATGTCTGACTCCTTTTAAGTCTGTATTTTGTAGTACCTAAACAATGTCAGAATAAATCGTCAAAGAAAATGCCTAAATAAGGCATTTATACACTTGATACAGTATCAAACATTGTGTTGAAATCATTAAACATAATTAAATGAGCAAATGACATTCAAAAAAAAAACCACAAAAATTAAAATTTATAATAAGTAATTCTTGCCGCCGAGCCGGTCGACGCCCGCGCTCAGCTGATTGCGTTGCCAGTAGGGTTACCAGATGAAAAAATTAAAAGTCCGGAGAAGAGGCCTGATATCCATTTTAAAAATCCTGAGATTGTTTTACAGTTTGAGAAGAAAACCTTACTTAAAAAGGTATCTTCACATATTAAGTATGATAAAACTGTTTAAGTACCTACTTGGATAAATAAGTTTTGATTTTAATTGTGGAATTATTACCAAAGGAAAATTATTTTGTTTGTTTAACTTTTTATTAAGAGATCTTTTAAAATGTAAGCTGTATTATATTAAAAGTTCTAAAAATCCAGAGATTTCATGAGATTTGCAAAATCAATCCGCAATCCTGAGAAGAGTCTAAAAATCCTGAAATCTCAGGACAAATCCTGAGATATGGTAACCCTAGTTGCGAGAGCCTACTCAACCATTCATCACTGTGCCTATTCCACCAGGGCGCCACTTTAAATGACTTTACATTAACTTTTCATATACTTCTTTATTTTGCATAAAACCATTTGATGAACTATTTGATTATTTTATTAATTTCTTTAAGAATTAATAGACATTCTTTAATAGACATTTAGGTAGTTTTTTTACGAATACTGTTTGCTAGCAACTCTGCCTGCATCCAAGAGGCAACGCCTCAACGTCGCACATGCGGCGGCTCAAGGCCAAGCCAAGGATATATTATAACGTCGACACAGGTGTCACCGTCATCAAAGGCGCCGCCTGCCCTTTTCGGTTTGCAGGCATCGATTTGGTGATCGATGTTTGCAGCACGTGCAAATTAAATGAGTATTATTAACTATTTTTTTATTTAATGTAAGTTGTATTTAAAAAATGGATGAAGGTTAAAATAATTATAAATGTTACAATAAAATATTTATAATGATTAAATATAAATTAACAGTAATTGAATAAAGATATTAAGGTATAATGGTTCAATAAAAATATTAAAATACAAATTTAAAAATTAGACTAACCTAGGCCCAGTAACGTTGTATTAAGGCGCAGGTTGAGCAAAATGTCGCGCTAGTCGTTATTTGGGCGGTTTTTAGGAGCTATCTACTTTTTATTTAAAAGATATATCAACAAATAAAAAACACATTATATTTCTACATAATCTTGATTCCATAAAAGCTATATCCAATTTTTTTTTAAAGGAATAAATATTAATATAATCTCCTTACAACGAAACCACATAAATGTGAAATTATTATTGATAACATGCATCTCCTCGTAAAGTAAGTATTATTTTATTTTGCGATTTACACCAATGGATAGGCAATTTATTAATAAACATTTCTATAGTAAATTTTTTTTCAAAAGACCAAAATTTGATTTTATTAAGAAATTATTTTAAAATCTGGGCATATTTACTGCTCACGGGCTTGCTGAAGTCAGTGAGCGCTGAGCTCTTCGATGTGAAGCCCGTGTCGTTAGAGCGTCGACCAACGCATACGCCACGTCATATGAGTCGATAATATTATTACTTATTAGGTTATTTATAGGTAGTATTATTTGTTTGTTTTGGGTATAATTTTTCGTATTAGTTATACATATATTTGTTGTGTTTTTTACTGCGCGATGAAGATTTTTGCGTGTATTTTCTTTGAAGTAAATTCAAATAAAAAAATGAAGCACCATTAGCATGTAAGGTTCGAATCCATAATTAAAATTTCGACAAATATTATAATTTACACTATAAAAGGCTAATTCAATATTATCACCCAACCACAATATCTTATCAGGTATATTACTGCCTTGTTGGTCTAGTGGTTGTAGTAGTGCGACTGCTGATCACGAGGTCCCGGGTTCGAATTCTGGGTCGGGCCAAAAAGTCAGTTATGAGTTTTTCATTTATGTTCTAAGTTATAATTAGTATTACTAAGTTATAGTTTTTTGCTAAAATATAGTATATTATTTATTGCTTGTTTTTTCTTCTTTTTCAAAAAATAATTGAGTACATAAGGTGTTCTATACTTATAACTCGGTAAAAAGTACTAATATACCTACTTTTTACTATAAACTAAAAATTTTTAAAACTAAATTTAACTAAAAAGACTAAACTGACCATTTATTTTTTAACTCATAACAGGACATGGGTTTATTTATACTCTAAAAACTATAACTTTATACAATTAGTGTTCACTATAAAATTATATTCGGTATAGACGGTAATTATTAAATGCAACATATTTTTTTTAAATTATTAATTACATTTGTCAGTGGATTAAATTTGCTTTAATAAAGTTGGTGATGATTTTAAATAAGAATAAAATTCTGCTCAAGTTTTTTATTGTTATCTTTGTTAACAACATCGCCTTTAGAACTCTGGAACCGTAAGTGTTTCTTTCAGACGTCCACAATTTATGCAAAATAAAAAAAATACTCTTTCTACCGGAGCATTCGTACCAGGTAGACATAAAATATATTCGATTAAAAAAAATTATGTTGAAGATTGTTGACTTTGAATACTTCCATCCAACGAGTTACGGGACAATTTTGTGTCCCGGAGCTTTGTTTGGGGACAATGGGACAGGAGACCGAGAAAAGGGACAGTCCCGTTCAAAACGGGACGTATGGTCACTTTAGCTATAACCCGGCGACCATGAAGCAAATACAAAGTTAGTCTTTGTATTAGCTTCATGGTGGCGCAGTGGCTTAGCAATCAGTTGTTGCGCTGGGGGCCGCGGATTCGAATCCCGCATGGAACAAGATTTGTATGGCCTACAAATAATTGTTCCGGGTCTGGATGTTTGTCTTTATGCAATTTATGTTTGTAAACTGCCTCCACGACACAGGAGAAAATCCTAGTGTGGGTGTAACGTTTTTTTACAACTGAAATTGAAAGATTGAACCCTTATACTTCTTGTTGATTTTTGTATTTATATATTTTTTATTGCACCAAATATTTGTACAAAAGCCGAGTTATCTATTTATTTACCTATAGTGAAAGGTATCTTTTAAACTCACAATTTTCAATGCTTCCGTTTTTAATATATAATTAATTATAAAATTTCATAATTAGATAATATATGAAAATACATAATTCTAATATAATGCAACTAATATATACAGAATAAAAAAATTAAAATACATTTATCTTTGTACGCTATGTGTATTTCCATAAAATAGTTTATTGATGTTGAAAAAATAATACTACTTTCGTACAATAGGTGGCGTCTTACATATTTCTTCCGGCGAGCCGCTCGCTACAATATATTAATATTGTAGCGAACGGCGCGCCGGTCAAATGCTCAAGGTCGTTCGCATGGAGTAGCCCCTTAATGACGCCTGCCCACACATTGACACTAAACCGGTGTTGAAAGCTATGCGGTCTTGGTTCATGTGGATTTTCATAGCACCATAAGTGTTCATTGTGCGAATTAATAGTCCTATTCTGCCAAATGTTGCTTCATCAGTCCATAACATGTTGGCTCGTTCAGCAGCTAGTAACCAATTACAAAATGTAACTCGCGCTGGTTTGTCAGCTTCGCTGAGTTCATGAACACGATGCAAGTGGAAAGGGTACTTCCCTTCATTGTGTATGACACTCCATGCGTAGTACTGTGACACATGGAACTGTCGGGCTGCCTCATATGTGGTCGCTGCTGGATTTTGTTCAAAAAACTGCAGTATGTCTTCCTGCTCACGTACTGTGCGCCGCGGTGGACGACCACGATCGATTGATACAGGCTGGAATTGCCCGTAATCTCGCAATCGCTGTGTAGTACCTAGCATCTTAGCGTAGCTCGGTGCACGTGAGTTGGGAAATCGCCTTGAATATTCACGGCAGGCTTCACTAACGTTATCATTGCAAATTGCTAAAATTCGCACCATTTCGGTATACTCAATATTTGAGTATCGGTATGCCATTGTAACAACGCGTAACGTTCGCGCTATTAATCTCACAACGGAAGGAGAAAAGTCGCGGGCGCACAAAAGGCGACTGACCGACTGCGCGCTTTATTTTGCTATTTAGGACTATTGCCGTTTAGAAGGTCCAATTAAAATATTGTTATTTTTGTATGAAAATAAAAATTGAAGAAATATAATTTCTTTTCTTACAGATGTTGTTGTTATGATGTAAATAATATATTCCCAAAAGGTCTTCAGTAAATTAAAAATTACCCTGTATATATATATATATATATATATATATATATATATATATATATATATATGTATAGATGTGTTGCCACATAACTTCTTATTAGTGTATTTTAATTAAAAAAAAATTACTTACCCTATTAGGCATAAGAAAGAGGGTGCTGCCCTTGCGAGTTGTGCCTGCTTCCACTTTACCCATGAGAACAGTACCCATATCCTTGTACTTGTCCACGACAGGCATAATAAAAGGCCCATCCATTTTGCGATTTAGTGATGGCAACTCATCAATCAATTGGATGAATGATGGACCACGGTACCATGAACATATATCTTCTGACACCTATAGATTTATATGAAGCATATGTATAGCTTTGTTCTTATTTACATTAAAACAATACAAATTTTACAAAAAAGAAAAAATAGTGTATACCACTTACTCTTTCTAGTAAGCCTTGCCCTGTCTGACCTGACACTGGTAAAAAGGAAAGATCCTTTGCTGGGTTAAAACCAAGTTTTTTAAGATAAGGTAAAATCTTGTCTCTGCATTCATTGTATCTGAAAGTTTTAAAACAAAATAAAATCAATATTGAATGAGGACTGATAATCTTCTGATTAATCTTCTGACATAGTCAAAATCATTAAAAAGTAGGGGTTTAAATAAAAATTTATCAGTTTCAAATGTATGTATATACACAAAAAGAGGCAAAGTAGTGTGCTTTTTGATTTTTTGGCCTAGTGCTTGTAGTAGTGCGACCGCTGATCATAAGATCCCAGGTTCGAATCTCGCGTCGGACCAAAAAAAAATCACACACAACAATTTCATAACTTCTCTGTCATGATATCTGTCAAATAACCAACGGTCTGTTATTTACCTGTTTGATGACACATATGTGTTTCACGAAATTCAATAACTGCATGATTATTAAAATTAAAGCAAACAATATATCACACACCTTTTCTCATCCCAGTTTACAGTGGGGTCATCCATTTTATTTACAAGTGCTACAAGGTGCTTAACTCCTGCTGTCTTTGCCAACATAGCATGTTCTCTGGTTTGACCTCCTCTGTCAAAACCAGTCTCAAATTCTCCTTTACGTGCAGAAATAACCTGGAAATTTAAATGATAAATATGTAAGTTCTATGAAACCAGCATGTGATACGGCTTATGAAAATTGACACTGTGCACATAATTTTTTGTTCTTATAAAAATCATACATGTCCGGTAAATTGGAAAATATTTCGAATACATCAAAGTCTGCCACCATACATAGGCGCAGAGCGACGGCCATTTCGTTGTCATAAAACCTTTTAAGAGATGAGAGGAAGCCTGTACCCAACAGTGGGACATATATAGGCTTTAACTTTATTAACACAAATTAAAAAAACAATTATATCAGAAACTTAATAATATAGATTTGACCGAAGCAGATTGCTTCGAATCATGGCTATGCTAGAAACCAGGCAAAGTCAATGTCAACTGCCCAGAACTCTCCCTCTCTGAAAACCATTCTTAGGTTCAGAAAGTGCACAAACAATACGTAAAGACTATATGACAGATCGTAGAAGAGCAACATCAGAAATCGGCGATCACAAAGTACTGAAGTTAGGATTTCAAAATCTGCTCTGAGTAAGAGTTGTCAATGTTAGCGAGTGAACAGTAACACCACAACTCAGAGCTGCTTCCCCTGATCCTGCACAAGCCATAAACTAAGCCCAAGCTCACCCTGGCATTTTGAGTGACAAGAGCAGTGGAAGAATGTTTTCTGAACTGATGAGAGCAGAATGTGCTTGGTGCCGTATATATTGTGTACTGTCAACTAGGTGGAACCATGGTATATGGCTCAGTAATATTTTGGACTGACTTTTTTTACAAAGCAAAAATTAATTTAACCTTCATTGAAAATAGATCTTTTACTTACATTAGGTATGTAACAGAGGTTCTGGAAGAATATGTAATACCCCATTGGGAATTTTTTAAAATTAAATTATTAATTAAATTATGGGTCATTGTAGAAGCGTGCTCGTCGCGACCCCTGCCAACCCTTTTCAGGGCTGCAATTCTACTCAGCTGCGCACCCATGCCAACGAGGGTTAGGGCGTCCCCCCAAGGCGACGCACACCAGCTCGTCCCCGTTGGTGTGGAATGCAGCGCGCAAAGCGGCGATGGGGACCGCCACCCGTCACGCACAGCCCGACACGGCGGAAGGTGGAGGACAGAGTGCAGAGTTGGCACGTGGAATGTTAGAGGAGGCATGAGAGATAAGACGAATGAGTTGATCGAAATAATGAAAGAAAGAGAATTAGATGTCGTGTGTATGTCGGAGACCAAACGGAAGGGCAGTGGTACTGAAGAGCTCCCTGGCGGGGCGTTAGCTCTATGGTCCGGAGTCCCGGAGAGCGAGAACGCCTGCCAGGGAGTGGGGGTGCTGCTGTCTTCTCGGTTGGTCGATGTTATGACTGAATATAAGGTTGTGAACTCAAGACTTCTCTGGGTTCGCTTTAAATTGGGACTGACGAAGTTATTCCTATTGGCTGTTTATGCGCCGGTAGCTTCGTCGTCCAGAGCTGAGCTGGAGGAGTTTTGGGAGAATGTAAGAGAAGTTCTAGATTTGGCTAGGGGAAACGTAAGAATTGTTGTATGTGGTGATTTGAATGGATGGGTTGGTACCGCTCGACCAGGGTACGAGTCGGTACTTGGAAAGTTTGGCGATAAAAGGGTTAATGATGCTGGCAAGCTTATACTGGCGGTATGCAAGGAAAAGGGTCTTCTTGTGACAAACACTATGTTTAATCACAAGAAAATCCATATGTTTACTAGAGAACGAAAGAATGAGAGAAGTATGATCGATTTGTTCCTGGTGGATGACCGACTGCGAAAACAGGTGATGGATACGCGAGTGTTCAGGAGTGCTGACCTGGGAACGGATCACTATCTAGTGATTACTAGATTTAGGGGTCTGTTCGCGGGTTGGCGCTACCGGACGGCAGTAACAGAACCACAGTCGGTCTGTCGCATCCGAAGCTGGAAGCTTCAGGAAGCGGATACTAGGGACAAATATCATGCGAGGGTAGCCGAAAAGCTTGACACCATCGATGGCAGAAAAGAATGTGTAGAAAGAACATGGCAGAACCTTAGGGATGGTATGGTAAGTGCAGCGGAAGAAGTGTGTGGAACAATAAAAAGAGGCAGTAGTAAAAGAAGAGATGCATGGTGGAATGATGAAGTGAAAGAAGCTGTAAAGAAGAAGAAGAAAGCATGGTTAGACTACTTGGCCTCTAGTAATGATAAGGATATGAGAGGGAAGATGAAAGAAAGATATAGGCTGCAGAAATTTCACACGAAAGCATTGATTGAGGAAGTGCGTGAAAGGTGTAGAATGGAAGCGGACGAAAGGTTGTCGCACAACTTTAAGGAGAACTCCAAACTCTTCTGGAAAGAGGTTGGAAGGACCCGAAGTGGTGCGACGGCCTTAAGAATGAACAAGTGCTTTCGAGAACTAATGACGTCCTCTCAGAAAAATCGGACGTCTTGCAGCGATGGAGCGAATTTTATAGAGCAATGTATGCGTGTGATGATCTTAGTGAGGGATCCGGGGATGACGCCGTGACTGGTACGCCAGACTCGGACCTCGATGACACTGAGGTCATCAGTATGAAAGAGATTGAACGTGCGATTCGAAGTTTGAAATGTGGTAAGGCTGCGGGACTAGACAGTTACTGCTGAAATGGTAAAGTATGGTGGGCCTCGCGTCTGGGACAGCTTTCATCTGCTGTGCAATTTGTGCTGGCGGACGGGGGATGTCCTGGATGATTGGCGATCCGCAGTCATTGTGCCTTTATATAAAGGTAAAGGTTCACATTTTGACTGCGGGTGCTATCGGGCGATCAGCTTGACCAGTTTAGCAAGTAAAGTTTACTCGAAGGTTTTGACACGTAGGATGCAAGAGAAATCGGAAAGATTTCTATGGGAGGCACAATGCGGATTTAGACCTGGAAGAGGATGCACGGATGAAATGTTTTCTCTCCGCATGATCACGGAAAAGCTTCTGGCTGCTAACCAGAAGATGTTCTGTGCTTTTGTAGATCTTGAGAAAGCATTTGATAAGGTTGTAAGGAAGAAAATGTGGGAACTGTTGCCGGGGTATGGTGTGGATGGTCGATTGCTAAGGGCTGTGCAATCTCTTTATTGTGACTGTAAAGCCTGTGTGCGGGTAGGGCATGACCTGTCACCCATGTTTAGCATCCAAACAAGCGTAAAACAGGGTTGTGTCATGTCTTCCTGGCTGTTCATACTGTATCTCGACAGCTGTTTACAGAAGCTGAAAGAAAGCTGTTTGGGTGTGAAATTGGGTGACATAAAAGTAAATTGTCTGCTGTATGCTGATGATGCAGTGCTCACTGCACCATCAGAGGCAGAACTGCAGGCATTAGTCACGTGTATGAAAGAGGAATGTGAAATTAAAGGTCTCCGTTTGAATGCTAATAAAACTAAGGTTCTGGTATTTGAAAGGGACGAAGAGAGAACGAAGTGTGAAATATGGGTAAATCAGGAATGTCTAGAACAGGTAAATGAAATTGTATACTTGGGGAGTGCTTTTAGCCGGGATGGAAGATGTGATTTAGATGTGGACAGGCGTGTCGCTGCCGGGAACAAAGTCAATGGTGCCCTGACTGCGTTAGTCAAAAGGCAAGGCGTAGTGAAGAGTGCACGCCTTGCAATACATAACACAGTGTTGGTACCGACTTTGTTATATGGCAGCGAAACCTGGGTATGCCAGAAGAAGCATAAAAGCAAGTTGAATGCAGTGGAGATGCGATCTCTTCGTAAAATGTGCGGCGTTACCATGGCCGACCGAAAGCGAAACGAAGATATTCGCAATATGGCAGGTTTGAAAGATGACCTTATCACAAAAATTGATAAGGGCGTGCTTCGGTGGTTTGGGCACGTCGAGCGAATGAGTGAAGACCGAATGGTGAAGAAAATATATAGCGCGAAAGTTAATATTAAAAGGTGTCGAGGTAGACCGAGACTAACTTTCGAAGACCATGTGAGCAAATTGCTCGAAGAGGGTAGGGTCAAGAGTACTCGGATACCTCGACGTGCATGTATGAAGAAGATAATGAAACTGAAAGAAGCGAAAGAGGTATGTAAGGATCGTGACACTTGGCGATCTGTTCTCTCTGGCTACCCCGTCAGGGATTGTGCGTGAAGATAAGTATAAGTAAGTAAGTAATTAAATTGAATTTTCGAAAATTTATTTAACAAGAAGAAAAACGCCAGAAAACCATGCTAGCCCATATAGTGCAATTCGGTAAAGCTGTAAGTATTTATGAGTCAGGCCAGCAACAAGTCCTGCCCTCAAACCTATTTGGGACCAATACAAAAGAAAAATTCGAAGAAGTAGTTCCCATTGACATCTAACAATTGAAAACTGCCATATTGGATGAATGGGAGGCTATATCAAAAGATTTACTACAAAAAAAAAAGGTAAAATATTTCATACACAGATTTAAAAATCTGGAAGTATTACCATATTATCAAAATTGAAAAACAAAATATTTAATCAAACTTACATTGTATGCATCTGTCTTTGCAACAAATTATGATGTGGGTATCTCCAAGGCAAGAGTGAATATGGCTTTTGTTAAGCTAAGTGAGTGCACTTTACCATCTTTGGCTGCATCACCACTTACCATGAGGTGGGATAGTAGTCAAAACTGGCTTAGAATAGTTAAAAAAAATAAAATTTTACGAAAATTATGTTTCTTTTTTGTAAAAAAGTATTTAAATTACTCCAAGAAATATTTTAAAGCATGGATAAATATTTCACATAATTTCTTCAATTATTTATGAGACACTATTTATATAATACAGTGGAAGTTATAAAGTTTTGTAATGCTGCCTAAGTAGCTTTTCTTTATTAATTACTAGCGTCTTCGCACAGGTGATTTCTAGATCTCGAAAACAGTGCCACCTACCGGGTCCAAATGTGAATCAAAAACATCTAGAGACCCATTCAAAACCCGACAAATATTTCATCAAAATCGGTCGAGCCATTTTTGAGTATTAGCGAGACAACGGACAGCAACTGATTTTTATACATAGAGATTAATTATATGCAGATTTTAAAAACCTAATTATACATACCAATACAGCCAAATCAGCCTGTGCCGCACCACCAATCATATTTGGAACAAAGCTCTTGTGCCCAGGTGCATCTAGTATTGTAAAATGCTTCTTTTCAGTCTCAAAATATGCTCTACCCACTTCAACCGTCTTTCCCTTATCGCGTTCTGTGCAAATTTAAAAAAAGCAAATCAAAATAAAACAAGTACAAGTAAAATGTGCGAAAACTCAACAATTGTGGAGTGGAGGCGTAAGAGAGTCCACTACCCATTAGTGATAAACAAACCTACAGTCCAGGGGATTGTAAGCTATTATTTACAGTTTACTACAGTATGGTATGGTACATATGGGGTATTATTTACTGGTCTTCTACCTACATTTCTTAAATTCTATAGTGAAAAATTGCAGTTGCCAATCTGCCTGACAAGTGTGGCAACTATGGCAAATATTTTTTTTGGAGGCAATCTTTGGGAGAGGCAATCTATTGGGTAGGCCTGTGTTCAGTAGTGGACTATCAATTGTAATGAGGATCATGATGATATCTTTGCTTGATTATTAATAACTCACAATAATGTTTGAGTTGACCATTGCTTTGCTACTAGGGACTGGTCACCCAAAGTTTAAATTTATTTTTTACTATCAACAACTTTGTATGAGGTTCATCAGTACTCCATCAATTTATACAAAGCAAACAAAAAATGTACCTACCAAATTCTTTTCTCTTAAACCAATAGAAACTGAAACTAAGTAGTATAACTATAATCACAAAGATTTTGATTACATTTGGCATTTAAAAAAAGTCAATAGAAACAAACCTTCTTGGTTTGTATCAAGCGCCCAAGACAAGTACCATGATTCTCTTGACTTTTCTCTAGCTTCTCTTTCATATTTTTCCAATGTTCTTTTGTCCACCATGCCTGTCAAAGACATAATTTGACCACCAATTGTTGATTTACCAGCATCTAAAACAAATATTGTATCATTAGTATTTGTTGTTTTTAAAATTTGGAATATAAACAGTAACATTCACCATATAAACAGTTGTTTTACTGTTTTAAAAACTTAACTTACCAACATGTCCTATAAATACAACATTCACATGTTCTTTCTTGCTTCGAGTGTCCTCTATCCTGGGTGGTTTCTTTTTAGGAATTTTTTTTGCAGCTTCTCCATCCTCCTGACAAAGCATGTAAGCATATTGAAACTACAATATTATACATGAACAGGTAAATAAAATATGTTATAGATGCAGCAGTGAAATTTTAACGGTGGTAGAGCCACGCAGCAGTTTTTGCTGTTGCATGTACGGGCCAGCTCGAGCCGGGTTGGTACCACGACCTCACAGAATACCGGCGTTAAGTAGAAGCTCTGCTTCTGCGTTTCGTCTGGTGAGTGCAGGTGGCCGGAGGCCCAATTCCCCCTCCCCCCCATCAACATGGTAGCGGATTTACACGATGAACTACCCCAGGAGGGTACCAGTACCCCTGTAGAATCCCTCGCTGAGCATCCACGACCATGTTATTCCGATCCTGAGCGTCGGTGCTCAGGCTGCCCCGCGTATTGGGGGGGGGGGGGGGCAAAATTCCGCTCAAAAGCATATCTGCTAGGGGCAAACTGAGCAAGAACACCAAGGCGACCCCTGCCATGCTATCCGTGAATTTCTGCAACATCAGGGGACTTCACTCGTAACCTAAACGCCGTCCACTACCATCTCGAGACGGCGAAGCCGGCCTTGCTCTTTCTGACCGAGACGCAGGTTTCCTCTTCGGCTGATATTTCGTATCTCTCCTACCCGGGGTACAAATTGGAGCATTCCTTTGTGCCTCGGGCTGGAGTTTGCGTGTATGTCAGAGAGGACATCTGTTCTCGACGCCTCGGCAGTCTTGAAGGTTCGGACCTGTCCATCCTTTGGCTACGCGTAGACAGCGACGACCATCCGCGCGTCTACGGGTGCCTATATAGGTCCCATAGCGGTAATGCCGAAACAGACCGACTCATCGACCACGTCCAAATGGCTACAGATTCCTTGCTACAACAGGTCCCATCCGCAGAGATCGTGATCCTTGGCGATTTTAACGCCCACCATGCCGAATGGCTCGGTTCACGTCTAACCGATCATGCGGGGAGATCTGTTTATGACTTTGCCTTGGCATATGGTCTGACACAACTGGTTACTTCGCCTACGCGGATTCCAGATGTGGAGGATCATACACCTTCCCTGTTGGACCTTCTGCTGACCTCTCATCCGAACGGATATCAGGTTTCCGTCGATGCCCCTCTCGGCTCTTCGGACCATTGTCTGATCCGGAGTGTGGTGCCACTCACGCTCCCTTCGCGGTTGCGTTCTGCAGGTTGCCGCCGTGTTTGGCATTACAGGTCGGCGGATTGGGACGGAATGCGGTCTTTCTTTGCATCCTACCCATGGGGGCGGGTTTGCTTCTCGCCGGACGATCCCAGCGCTGTTGCTGACTCTGTCACTGATGTGGTGCTACAGGGAATGGAACTATTTATTCCATCATCTGTGGTACCCATCGGAGGCAGATCTCAGCCTTGGTTTGGTCGCTCCTGTAAGACTGCATTACGCAGTAAGCAGGAGTGTTATCAAGCCTGGGCTGCAGCTTCGGCGACTCGGGATGTAAATACCAGCACACTTAAAAAGAAGTATAACTTCGCCTCCAGGTCCTTCAAAAGAGTTATTGCCAAGGCAAAGTCAGAGCACATAGGCAGAATTGGCGAGAAACTAGTTCGCCTTCCTTCGGGAACCCGTGCATTCTGGTCTCTCGCCAAGGCTGTCCAAGGGAATTTCTGTAAGCCATCACTACCATCTCTGCACAGGGAGGATGACTCACTGGCCCATGACGCAAAAGACAAAGCCGACCTTTTAGGCTCCCTTTTTGCGTCCAACTCGACTCTTGATGACGGGGGGAAAACACCGCCGACCATCCCGCGGTGTGAGTGCTCCATGCCGGATGTGCTGTTCTCACAGCGCTCGGTTCGCAAAGCACTGCTCTCCCTGGACATCCAGAAGTCGAGTGGGCCTGACGGAATCCCCCCAATTGTGCTGAGGACGTGTGCTCCGGAGTTGGCACCGGTCCTAACGCGTCTTTTCCGGTACTCCTACTCACAAGGCGTAGTCCCGAATTCATGGAAAACAGCTTTTGTCCACCCGATCCCTAAAAAAGGCGACCGCTCAGACCCATCCAACTATAGGCCTATCGCGATCACCTCCTTGTTCTCCAAAATAATGAAATCCATTATTAACTGCCAGCTCATCCGGTACCTTGAGGATCACCAGCTGATTAGTGACCGCCAATACGGTTTTCGTCGGGGTCGATCAGCTGGTGATCTTCTGGTCTACCTGACCCATAGATGGGCGGAGGCAGTAGAGTCCAAGGGGGAGGCATTGGCCGTTAGTCTGGACATTGCGAAGGCCTTCGATCGGGTTTGGCACAAAGCGCTTCTTTCGAAGCTCCCTTCCTATGGGCTTCCCGAGAAATTGTGCAATTGGATCACCAGCTTCCTTGCAGATCGGAGCATCAAGGTCGTTGTAGACGGTGCATGCTCTGACTACAAGCCTATTAACGCTGGTGTTCCATAAGGCTGTGTGCTATCACCAACGCTGTTTCTTCTGCATATCAATGATATGTTGCTAACTGGTAACATTCATTGCTATGCGGATGACAGCACTGGTGATGCTCTATACACCGGCCGTGCCAATATTTCTCGGGAAAACGTCGCTGAGTACCGGAACAAATTTGTGTCTGAAGTCGAGTCTTTGCTGAGCAAAGTCTCGGATTGGGGGCGACTAAATCTAGTCCAGTTTAATCCTCAGAAGACACAAGTTTGCGCGTTTACCGCTAAAAAGAACCCCTTTGTCGTATCTCCTCAGTTTCAAGGCACTCCCCTTCTTGCCTCAGCCAGTATCGGTATCCTCGGAGTCGACATATCGAGTGACGTGCAGTTTCGTGGTCACTTGGAAGGGAAGGCCAAATTGGCCTCTAAAAAGCTTGGCGTGCTCAGCAGAGCGGGACAGTATTTCATGCCGGCACACCGCCTGCAACTTTACAAGGCGCAAGTTCGGCCTCACATAGAATACTGTTCCCATCTCTGGGCAGGGGCTCCCCAGTGCCAGCTCCTTCCACTTGACCGCATCCAACGCAGAGCTGCTCGAATCGTCGACGACCGAGCCCTTTCCGATCGGCTCGATTCATTGGCACTGCGAAGAGATGTTGCATCCCTTTGTATTTTCTTTCGCATCTACCATGGGGAGTGCTCTGAGGAATTGTTCGGATTAATCCCAGCCGCCAAATTTCACGAACGCACATCGCGGCAGAACTCCCGATACCATCCACACCATCTGGATGATTGGCGGTCCACCACTGTGCGATTTAGAAGATGTTTTCTTCCTCGCACGACCTCCTTGTGGAATCGATTACCATCAGCGATTTTTCCGGACCGATACGACTTAGGGACCTTCAAGAAAAGAGCGTACTCCTTTCTGAAAGGCCGGCAACGCATCTGCGATTCCCCTGGTGTTGCAGTTGTACGTGGGCGGCGGTAGTCACTTACCATCAGGTGAGCCGCATGCTCGTTTGCCCCCTCTCCTATAAAAAAAAAAAGAAATATCAAATCAAACGCAACATAGATGACACATCTAGTTTGTCTTTTTTAACATGGGAATCTTTAGATTTTGAAGGCTTATTCATGTGTGTTCACTTCTGGGTTACCAATTATCACTAATGTGTGTTTGCCACTCAAACTATAGCTATATCACCGGGCAATTGCTACTTCTTCCCTTTGGAAGGTACTCTACAGTGATTTTAAGTTTCCTCATAAGGCCAGCAGTAAAAGACCATATTCCAGTTACGTGAATTATAACTGGCAACATTTATAATTCACTGATTTTGAGGAATATCAGAGAAGAAGATTGCTCATAATTGGACTTACCTAATTTGCTAATAACTACCAGGATAGGTTTAACATGGATGTCAGACATGAGTTTTGTCTTAACCTGTTACAAGGGGAGGTCAAAAAGTTCGCGGAAAGGGTTGGCAAGGGTGAGTTAACTCATCTAGGTATTTGCTAGTTAAGTGATTCATTGTTAGTATATATACTAAGTTTCAACCTAATCGGGTTATTAGCTTTTGAGTTATCAACGAGTAAACTAGTCACTATGGAGAAAATTTAATATTGCACCATCATTAAGCTTCTCACCAAACAAGGAAAGACACCTCAATCCATTTTCAAGAGGTGTCAGCTGTTTATGGGGTCTCCGCTCCTGGGAAAACCATGATTTATAAATGGCACACCCTTTTCAAACAAGGGAGGGACTCCATTGAAGATGACCCCACGACCTGGACAACCGATTAAGGCTACCACGCCAGAAATAATCGAAAAGTTGAAAAACTTGTATCGGAAGATGCCCTGCTAAAGAAAGAACAGCTTGCAGCTTTAGTTGGGAGTATCAGAAACAACCATTTTAAACATCCTACATCAACACCTTGGCATGACTAAAGTCTGTGCAAGATTGGTTCCGAGAATGCTTCCTGTGCGTCAAAAACACGAGCATGTCGAAAGTTGTCGGCGAGTTTTTGGACCGCTGTGGAGAGCAAAGGGAGGAAGTTATGGCCCGAAAGTTCACCATTATGAAAGTGAGTCAAAGCAAGATTCGATGCAGTGGCATAAAAAAGGCACACCCCATCCTCAGAAGTATAAGGTGCCTCAATCGGTCGGAAAGATCATGGTGACGATCTTTTGGGATACAGAAGGTATCCTTTTCATTAATTATAAGGAACGTGGTGTTTCCATAACGGGAGGATTAGTATTCTTCTGGCTTCTTTATTAGATAAATTAAAAGAAGCTATTAAAGAAAAAAGGCGAGAAAAGCTTACAAAAGGCATGCTCCTCTTGCACGACAATGCGCACATGCACACAAGACATGTTGCGACAGTTGCCACTGACAGACTGCCACTGTAGGTTGGGTGGTGCAGTTTTGAACAACTGCACCACCCATCCTACAGCCCAGACCTGGCCCAAGCGACTATTACTTGTTTCCAAAAATGAAGAAAGAACTGGGAAAAAATTTGGTGACAATGATGAAGTGAAGTTTGCACAATTATGGCCTATTTTGACACCCCAGAAAATCTTTTTTTTTTTTAGATGGTATTAATAAGTTAT